TCAATCTCATTATTCCACGTAGATTGTTATATCTCCGATATTCCATCATCATAAATTCATAATGATAAATAGTATTATTATTCAAGGATCCCATAATTTTCAATCATAAATTTTAACAATTTTTATTAAAATTTATTAAAAATTAGTTTTAATCCTCACCAAAGCGCAAAGGGCAGTTGGGTGAGTACATGCAGGTAATATATTGTTAATTCTGCAGTGTCTTATTGACAGTTATACATTCGAAGACAGAAAATGCCAGTCAAACCTCGAGTGGCGGAAAAAAGTTGGCAATTTTTATACAACACAAATTTAACAGACTGTATAGATTATTCTAAATTGAATTTTCTGTTTCTTTTTTTCAATTTATTTTTCTAACTAAAATTCTGATCACATACTTCCATTCATGTGGTCTCATGTTTATTTTTCTGTCATGGCCCCTGAAATAAGTGTCAGGGTAGGTGAGGAGATATGGGCATAATAATTGCTATTTGTAGTTTGTTCTTCAATACAAATTTGTCATATACCAAAAGAGTATATATTCTATTTCAACTGTAGAATCTATCATTACAATAAAAATAATTTTTTGCAACACATAAAAAAGTTATGAGAAATCTTTCGTAACATTCGGATGTATATTACAAATTTCGATGTTATCGTTGAATAGAAGTATACGATAACATTCAAAAATCGTTGCAAATGACCATCAAGGAACGTTATAATTTGTTTTCTTGCAACATACAATGGTTGCCGGGACAAGTTTTCGGCAACATTTTCTGAATATTGTTATGGAAAAAATGAGATCTTTGAGGATTTTCCAAAAAGTAAACCAAACATTCTCATTTGGCATTACATTGCACTAGAAAAGACTAGTGTAGAAGAGAGACGATGGGACAAATAATGTAAACCCATGAGTTGACCATTCTAGAAAAACTCCCAATTGAGAAACATGTCAATGGTATATAGAGTTTTACAGACCATACTACCTTCGACAAAGGTGTAAGTCCAGTCTTTACCACGAGTATACAAGCCAATGTCTGTCTATACTAACGGACTTTTGAGAATTTGGAAATGGAATATGGGGATTGTTGTAATTTGGTTTAAAAGAGATTAAAATTGGTTAAGTATAAAATTTTAAAATGTGAAAAGTGATTTTCGTGTCAATTTCGATCAAATATTCGTGCTTGTTCCGATAATCAAATTATGAAAATAAATAGAGTAACTTGTTCTACTTGTCGAGTAAATGATTGTGATATATTTAGAATCTCAAAATCAATTTTGAGTGAATGAAAAATTACGATTCAAAATTGAAAAGAAAAACAAGGAATTCAACCTTAAGACTGCCGCTCGAGCGACATGCCAGTTCTAAGCAAGCTGTACTTTCTGATTTTGGCGCTCGAGCGATGCACGAGCAATAGGAGAGCGACAACAAGGGTTGTGACCCTTGGTGAAGGTTGCAAAGTTTTGGAGAGTGTCTCTTCATCCACAACCCCTCATCTTTTATAAATTAGACTACTTGGACGTCATTTAAGCATCAAAATTCATATTCTTGAGTCTCACATAAGAACTCTCACCAAAACTTTCCCAAACTTTGCATTCAAAATCATTCTTTGTAGAGAGAATAATCTATCCAAATTCGTTGTTGCTTTGTAATTAGGATGGAATCTGTTGTATCTTGAGAGGTAATTGTCATTAATCTGTTAGCACCATTGCGGGACAAATTTGTCTTAAAGACAGAGAGGACGTCTGGGAGAGCTTTTCATCCAACAAGAATCAATTAATGGACCGTTGCTCACTGCAAGATGGGTCCCAGATTGCCAGCAACATTTGACTTCCAGCAAATGAAATGTCCAAAATGCATGTGAATCATGCAAAAATGATTTAAATGTTTATGGCAAAAAGGTCATTTTCCACTTTTTATTCAAAATTTCTTCTGCCATGTCAGAATTGCTGCAAAATATGTCTGAAGCAACGATCCAATTCTTGAGGTTTCAACGGTCCAATTTTGGATTTTCAGTGTGCCCAAACACACCCAGAGTATTATCACTTGTCTCGGATCGTTTAATCTATATTTCTTCTTCTTCTTCTTCTTCTTCTTCTTATGTTTTGGTTCTACCTTCTTCATTTGTGGTTTAACATCATTTTGTGTAGTTAAACTTGTGCCAAATGTTGTCCACTTACAAAACATTTATAATATATTCACCAATAGGGATAATGTGCTACAATAGACAATTATTTTTCACTAAACACTAGTTTGTAGCTATTGTACACTACTAGCTAAATCTAGTCTATACGACGGGTTTAATAATGATAAAATTTTAGTTTTGTTACAAGTACAATTTTTTTTTTTTTTTGACATAATTCTTACAGAAAGACACTTGACAGTTTTTCATTGGTTTTAACACAACAAACATAAAAAAATACACGATACAAATGTCGTCACGCAACACCTGTATCATTTCTGTTAATTATTCCATGTACATATGGAATTATTCAAAAATTTTATTGGATAGATTTCATTTGTAGCCACTGAACTTTCAATGAAATGTTAATTGGGTCACTAATATTTTAATTGGGCTCAATTGAGTCACTGGACTTCAATTAAGTTCCAATTAGGTCAATAGACTATTTTGGTTTCAAATTTCACAGCTTCACCATATATAAAAAATTCTTTTAATTGAATTTTCAATTTTTTTGTTAAATAGAAAATAGAGATTAAATCCATGTTTGACTCTCTTTAAATGAAAACTCTTTATTTCTCATATTCATTTTTAACCACACTTTCACAAAATAAAATATTTTGCACCAAAAATCAAAACTTTTTCCTATTTTTTTATTCGCGCATTCTTAAAAAAATTACTATTCGAAATACCATTTTTCTCAGTTTTTCTTTATAATAGCCATCGAATAGGGGCTAAAATTTTTTACTATGTTTAAAGATTCAAATGAAGTATTTTCGAGAATTTTCAATATCTTATTATCTCGCTAAAATTAATTATTATTGATTTGATGACAAGGCTTAGGAAAAGAAGATAATAAATTTTATGAATATCTTATAAAAAATAATTATAGAATCAATAATTGGAAACTGGCGTGACTTGTAATTTAATTTAGCGTGACTTGTTATTTAATTTAGGGTGTGTTTGAGCCAGATTATTTTGGAAGAATGTATTCTGAAATAGTAGATTGATAGAGAATTTGTGGTTGAAAAAAAAGGAAAAGTTATTAATGTGATGTAAAATATTATTTTATTGAAGAATGTGTGATTAAAAATGAGTAGAATAATAATAATGAAAATTTTAATGTGTACCAAACAAAGACTAAGATTTTTTTTTTTTGCCTATTTTTAGTTATTTATAATGCTATATTTATAAAAAATTTAGTAAATGGTGTTTTTTTGTAACCATTTTACAAAATCTAGCGTGTAAAATTATAAAATACGATATGTAAAGTATAGTTATACCATATATATACATGATGTATTTTGTAAATGTCTCTATTTTTATTAATACATTTTGTTATTTCTATTACTTATTTTTATTTTATTTTTTCCTAAACAAGCACACAATTTTTTCACATCAAACAATATTTAATGGGTGGTTATGCCACTAAAATTTTTGTTTAATACACCATATTTTAATTACTGTTAAACTTCTCTATCTATGCTCATTATAACAATTATCTTTTAAACTTTTTTTCGTTGAATTCTTATTTTCAACTTCCTTTTAATTAGTACGTTCGTTCTTGATAATAATTTATATCAAAATATTTTGTTTTCATGCTTTGAAACGATGAAAAAGATATTTTTTTGCACATTATATTTATTTATTTATTAAAATTATAATGAAAAATAAGTTATTTTACGTCATTTCAATGAATTTTCGGATATAAAATTGTTATAAATATAAAATGCGTTAATTAATGAAAAGTTTGAGAATAAGGATGATATGAAAAGCTGTTAGGAACATAAGTATTTTAATGAATATAGATTAAGAGCTTGTTTGGGAAGGATTAAAATTCAATTAAAATTGAAAATATAGCAGTTATTAGGTCTCACTCATCTAATAAAAGTCAACTCCAACTGTTATATTTTCAATTTTAATCTGATTTTAATTTCTCCCAAACAAGCTCTAAAATTAAGTGAGCATTAAATATCTGAATAGATTAATTAATAAAAAGCAAAATTTCTGATATTGTAAAATTTGAATCCATGCAGTAGGGTGTCCCCACATGGGATCCAATGTAGAAAAAAGCATGGATTCTTACTGCACTGACTTTTTAGATTTTGTGTCTGCATGTATTTGGGTGTATTATGCGCCTTTTCATAAACTGGTCGTGCCTTTTTAGGATCCAATCGGAACGGACCCGGGTGCATTCTCGTTATTTATCAAAAAACCGTGGGCAATTACTCACGCTATCCGAGCGGGAATAAAGGCATCGTGTCCGTTAAATTTCGAATTTCAAATATCAAAACCCAACACAGTTTGGAGAAAACAACAAAAAAAAAAACACGTACTACACACACTGCACACTCTACTACCACTCACCACGATTTCCTAAACCCACCAACCCACCTCCACCTCCACACCCACCCCCAACTCTTCTACCGGTCAGCTGTTTAATTTGAAATGTCTCTTTTTGTCCGGTTTAGAGCTCGTCGAACAAAGTATACTTTTAAATGGGGCAAGAAAAGATTGTTTGGTAAAGTCATTTCAAGATTTCATTCAATAATTTTCCCCTTGTGTTGCGTTCATTAATGGTTATTTTTATTTTTCTTTTTAAGCAGAAAGAACTGTTTTTCACATCTTAAAGGCACTGGTCCTCTCTCTATCCGAGTGTGTGTGTGTCTCTCTCTCTCTGTACTTCTCAGTTTCATTAACCCTTTTTCACTTTTAAGTCATTTTCTAAATTTTTGGCAGTCAAGTTCTTGTTTTTACCCCTCTATCTGTCTTCTATTCTTGAAAATTAAGAATTGGGTTTTGTAAATCAAGAGCTTATCTCAAATGGGTGCTTCAGGAAAATGGGTTAAAGCTTTGATAGGACTCAAAAAATCTGATAAAGACGATCATGTAAGGCTCAAAAACTGTAGCATTTGCTGTTTTCTGTTACAATGTTTCCCTGGAATCTTAACTTCTTGTTCTAGATTTCATGTTTATTGCACACTAATGGTGAACTTTAAGATTTATTATATAAATCAGCTAAAGATAGAAGCATTTCTTTTAAAGGAGAAAGTGGGAGGAAAGAACAAGAAATGGAGGCTATGGAGGAGTTCACCAGGTGATAATGGTGTGTCCTCGTGGAAAGGATTCGGAAGACATGGTGGATCAGACGGCTCTTCTGATTCTTCATCAGTGAACAATGATGCCTTCAATGCTGCTGTGGCGACAGTTGTAAGGGCTCCACCCAAAGATTTCAGGATTGTGAGGCAAGAATGGGCTGCCATTAGGATCCAAACTGCATTTCGTGGATTCTTGGTAAGTCAGTTTAGGGATTTTCCATTTCTCTGTTTGTCTGTTATTTAAATAAACAAGATTTTGACTTGTTTCTCTTCATTAATATTGAACATGCAATTAATGTTTGTGTTTTCATGTGTGACTTTGTTTGCTTGATTTCACATGTTAACAATACAAAAGGAAAAGAATGACTTAAAAGGCTAATGTTTTATAGTTAGTCTAATTAGAAAATATATAAATTTATACTAACCAATTAACAAAAAGAATTAGGAGAAGGATCTTGTGTATCTGAGGATAAAATTGAATTACTCAAAATGGTGAACTGAGGTTGGGTACAGAAGAAGGGGTGAGGCTCTTGAAAATCTTATAAAAGGTCTTTTATTGTGTTCTCTCTACATCTTGGTCGTCCTTAGACAATTCCCTGGACAACTTGGCCTTTGTAGCCCACATATTTCACAAGACGTGATATTCAAATGATGGTTCGTTCTTGTTATTCCATTGGTGCCGGAAGCTTCTTTTGAAGTTTTAAGAAGTGAACGTGTTATGACAATCTAGAAAACCTGGGTCTTGACTATTTAATTTCGCTTGCTTAATAATTGTGTTTCATATGGATGTATTTGTTTTTTGATTAAGGTCATCCTCTTGATCTGAATATTTAGTTCCTCACTTGTTGCTGGACAATGATATTAGGCAAGAAGAGCTTTAAGGGCCTTGAAAGGATTGGTGAGACTTCAAGCTATAGTTCGTGGCCGACAGGTTCGGAAGCAGGCTGCCGTTACTCTTAGGTGCATGCAAGCTTTGGTTCGGGTACAGGCTCGGGTGAGAGCTCGTCGTGTACGTATGTCCATAGAGGGACAGGCTGTGCAACAGATGCTTGATGAACGCCACAGCAAGGCTGATCGCTTGAAACAAGCTGAGGTAGTATCTGTCTTGGCTCTTATAGATAATTGTCTATGATGCATAAATACTCCTACTGAGGTGTCATTTCTGTGTTCGACACTTACCAGATGTGGGCACTCTTTGAACACTCCAGGACACATAGCCAACACGCCCCACAGTGTGTTCCAACTTTTATAACAATAAAGATACAACATATATATGTATAACTTTAAAGAATTTAAACTAACGTCTCCATATCCTACTGTTTTGATAAATCTTGTACTAGTATGCCCATGTCTCTGCTTCTCATAGACTATTATCAATTGAAATTTTCTATCAGTAAGTTTTTCAGTTTTCACTTAACTAAGGCCACATTTCATTATCGTCGGATTTTTCAGGAAGGGTGGTGTGACAGTAGAGGAACATTGGAAGAGGTTAAGACAAAGATACAGATGCGGCAAGCAGGAGCTGCTAAGAGAGAGAGAGCATTTGCTTATTCTCTTGCTCAAAAGGTATGGTTTTAAGAAGGCAAAGTTATAGTATTAAAAATGAAAAATATGTCAAAATTTTGTTTTCTATCTATTATACTACCTCACTTTCAACAATTATGATTCTCTCTTCACATTTATTGCAGTGGAAGTCGAGTCAAACTATTCATTCCCACACAAATGCTTCTAATCCCTCTCTTAAAAGTTACGAGTTTAACAAGACCAGCTGGGGATGGAGTTGGCTAGAACGTTGGATGGCTGCAAAGCCTTGGGAAAACAGATTGATGGAGCAATCACAGACTGACCCTTTGGAAACAACCCCTCTATCTAAGACCTGCACAGATTCCACCAAGTGCAATCTCTTGAGGTTGACTGAACCTAGTTCGGTGAAAGTCAGAAAGAACAATGTCACAACGCGAATATCAGCGAAGCCTCCCCGAGTTGGGCAAACTACTCACTCATCTTCAAGTCCGAGTTCCGATTTCAGATATGATGAAAGCTCGGCTTCATCTTCAATTTTCACATCTACAACTCCAGTTTCTGGAAACACCATGTTTGCACCAGATAGAGCAGAAGAGATCAATAATAGGCCAAGTTATATGAACATGACAGAAGCTACCAAGGCCAAGCAGAGAAATCATAGAATTCAAAGACAGTCCATGGACGAGTTTCAGTTTCTTAAGCATTCGGCAGTTGTTACAAATGGGGATTCAAAAAGCAACGCAGGTTCTGATAAGTTCTCAAGGAAGTTGAGGGACGGAGAGAATTGCTCATTTCAGTAAAATGGGAACGTGATGTTTAATATTTATTGCAAGTCTTCAACAACTCGTTGTTTTTCATGTGAAGAATTTAACCAAATAGTTTTATTGAGGTTCTTGAGATTTGATTTGACTTGAATTCTGCATTATGTAAAAACTGTAAGTCGTGATTTTGGAACCAATTAAATGCTTTTGAGCTTCTATTTATCCATGTGAGATAGTGAAATATTTTTTGCAAATATACAACAGAGAACAGACTGCTATCATGAGAAAAACTGTAACAATATAGTTCTGAACAATTTTGAGAAGTATGCAGTGACATAGTTATCAATAAAGTTACTTTCAAGTAACTTTTAAGCTTAGCCAAAAGTCTGTCAGCTCACAATGTTCTCGAAGCATTGATTATCAATTCAGAATTATAAAATTTCACCATCTTTTGTATCATTCACATGAGAACGTGAATTCATACTGAAATATTTATCTTTCATGACTTTCACGTGCGTTTGATGGCTCGAACCTTTACTCCATGTTTGAAGTTAAGAACTATGCCATACTCGAGTCCCAAAGGAGTTTCCATCTGCGGAGAATGCCGGAATACATACTTTCTGTATAGATGAATCAGTGAAAGTTTAATTTCTTGTAAGGAGAATTTCTGTCCAATGCATGCACGAGGCCCTATTCCAAATGGAATATTAGCGTAAGGATGTCTTCGTTTTTCCTCTTCACAATTTGGATCGAACCTCTCTGGTTTGAACTTCTCTGGTTCTGGGAAGTTCTTAGGATCTTTAGCTAGGACTCCAAGGGCTAACCACACCCAGGTGCCCTGCTCATTCAAATACAAATACTTTTCTGAAATTCCTTATGTCAAAAATAAATAAGAAAATTTATGCAGAATAACATAATATGTAGTTATGTACCTTTGGGAGGTTGTAACCTCCAATATTTACTGGAGCCGATGTTTCCCTCGCAACTAATGGAGAAACTGTGAAGACTCTCATTGCTTCTTTAATCACCTGCACTCAAATATTATGAATGCTACGGGAATTCGTCATTTTTCAAGAAGACTGCAGAAGATAAAGATATTCCTATTCTATAGATGAATAGGTGGAACAGGTTAAACGATCACAAAATTCACCATTCAATCAGAAATTTTATATTCTCTCATTTTAACTAAGTGGATGCAGTTTCAAGTAATGAATTGTTTTGAATCGAGACCTACCTGATCAAGATATGGAAACTTGGATTGAAGATCAGGGGCAGTAGGCATTTGATCATGAGGACTGAAAGCATCAATCTCTTCGAGCAACTTCTTCTCAACTTCTGGATGCTCCGCAACCAGATAAATTATAGTAGACATTGTAAATGAAGTTGTTGCTGATCCAGCTAACAAGTGCTCGTATGTTACTGCACTAACATAATCGGAGGTGAAGACATTCTTGGCAGCTGTCTGCGACTCTCTTGCACTTAGTATAAGTGACAAAAAATCCTTTGAGCCACTATCCTTTTCTTTCATTCTCTTCTCCACTATCCCATCAAGCCGGCTACTCAAGTTTTTGTTTGTTCTATCTACTTTCCAGTCCATAGTGCCTGGTATTCTCTTAAGAATCTGGCGAAATGGCTCTTGAAGAATAGGGACAAGCAGGCCTAATACTATTGAAAAGGAGCCTGATAAGTCCATTTTAAGCTGAGTTGTGGAGTAAATGTGTTGATTGATGAACTGTTGGACTTCATTATCATCGTGTTGATTGTTCGTTTTGTTGACAGAATCAAGACCAGATTTCGGCTTTGACAGCCTGAAATCCACTCCAAAAGCTGCTTGTCCAATTACGTCTGTGGCTAGTTTGAGGGCGAGCTCAGAAAAGATGAAATCTTGTTTACTATCTAAATTGTTGGTTGCAGACTCGATGCAATCTTGCATCGTCGGCACCAACTTGGCAAGGTGAGATGGCTGGTAGACGGACAAAATGGCGTTTCTCATGGTTGACCATCTTGAATCCCTGCAATATGTTACGGATTAAATCTAATTCTCTAGCTTCGAGAGCAAAAACAAACAAAACAAAATGAGAAACGCGTAAAAATGTAGTTCACCCTCAATGTGAGAGCTACATCCATTTGCAGCCGTAGATTCTTACTTATATAGAAGATCTTCATACAAACATTTGTGTTATCCACAGTTCCACCCAAAAGGGTGACATATTATCTTTTTTCATACTTATGCTTCAAATTTGTACAGGGCTCGATTCTTGGAACTCACTGTGACATGAATGACGAATCGGATACAGAAATACAGAGAAGACAGTTTCGCTCGATAATACCTGGTGAAGAATAGGCCCTTCTGATGAAGAGGGGACGCAGCGATGGGAGACGGAATGCTTCTATTGGTAATGTCTTTGAATTTTTTGATACCAACTTCTCTGCATAGCTCTGGATCTGCTATAATCACTAGTGGTTGTCTTCCCATGTGAAATCTATTTTTTTAAAGAACATTATCAGTCAAATTTCATTAAATTAGAAGCCTAATAATTATCTTGTCACCTTTATTTCCAATTCTTCTTCAGAACTTATGAGAAGAATTTAGTAGTTACATAGGCAACTGATTTTTTATGTTCTCATTAAAAACTTTGAAATTGAACCCCCTAACCACGACTCGTCAACTGATTCTTCCAAGTCCCGACAAGGAATTTCGTCTAATGGGACAAAGGCATGTTACTGCATCAGTTGAAGATTGGACATTATTTGTTTCTTGAAAATATAATCTCCCTTTTTATTGTCTTTTCAGAAAAAAAGGGAGAAAGTTGGAAATATGTCACGTGAAACATATATCATCTAATGGATTGGATTAAAGGAAGTCCGCACCACTCAACCTTAGCCAGAAAGCAAACAACTTTTATGCCCATTGTTCCTCAATTTGAACCAGTTAATTTTATCTTTTTAAAGAGCTCTTGACTTTTTTATTTCGTACCCAAAAAGTAAATTATTAACTTATTAAAAAAGACCCACGTACCCTGTATCCTTCACACTTAAGATCCCCTAGCGGTTTCGAGTATATGTTTTATTTCACCCCTGTTCGAATGTGAAAAATTAAATTTTTAGCAAATTTTGATAAAAATTAATGAGATAAGATACATTGCTGATAAATTCTTAAAAGTTGTGGATCTCATGAAATGTGTAGTTGAAAATGAATTTTAGAAAATGAGGACCGAAGGCGAATTCATTTTCTCTCCACCAATAATTTTCTCTCTGCAACTTGTGTTTCATTCACCAACATTCTTGATCTTCTTATAGATGACCAAACACTCGATATTTTAATGCTAGTCTCAAAAATATATTTGTAACCCCAATCCCCCAAAACCACTCCACCCAAAAGAATTTTTTTGTGCATGTTTGTCCAACTAAAAAAGAAGCCAACTTCCATTTTTGTATTAAAGATCAAAAAAGAAACAACTTCCAAAGAGTTAGCTTTTAAAGCTACAAACATGTTTTGCCAAGCCTTGACATTACTTCAGAATTATACAAACATGTTGGAGAGCAAAGAACAAACCTGAAAATAGGACCATATCTCTTAGCAAGAATGGAGAATACATCAGGGCCATATTTTGCAAGCAAGGGCAAGTGACCTAAGAAAGGAATTGCTGGAGGACCAGGCACTTTTCTTACACCCCAATAAGGTCCATATAAGTATCCCAAAACTCCAGCCAATAAGGCCACTACAGTGCATATCACTGATACCATAGGTGGCCTTATTAAGGGCAGTAATATCTCTGCATACTGCTGAAAATTTGCTGGTAAAAACTCCATTGTTGAGAGAAAGAGAAGAACAAGTCTAAATTCTTGAGAGTTGGAATATGGAGGAGTTCCTAAAGTATTTTTAATATGGGCTGTTGGGCTATGTCCTTGTTGAATGATTATGATATGAAAATGGTGGGTTCCTCCACCCCCACGAATCTTAATATTTTAGTTATTGACAGTGTTTACATGAATGTGACATCTGCATATATTATACTATGATTTCAAAATTATTAATTCAATCAAAATGGAGGGTTTGAAAGGTGTATTGGACTTGAAATCAGTCACATCTGATATGAATGCTTGAGAAAATCTGCTCATGATGTTCAAATATCAAAAAAAGTTCAACCAAATTGAGGATCAAAGAATAAAAGAACAAGATATATACCATATGTCCCGTTCTCATATTTTTCGTCCTAATGCAATGTTTGTAATATTTTTTTGGCTCTAGACCACTCTCTTAATCACTATCCTCGTCTGAGTTCATCAAAGTTTGTCCATAACCCAACTCTAGTAAATCTAATCCCTTGTCGATATCGCCCATGTATATGTCCAAAGAACTGTGCTATTGGGCCAGGCTCAAAGCTCGTCAGCTCGCCCTCCAATGGGGGTGCCACCTCGATGCCTTGTTTTTGGGCCTGGCTTTGAGCCGGGACAAGAAGATTAACACATGTCCAAAAGTATCACATGCCTAATGAAGGTCTCGAGATGTACTAATAAAGCTATATGCTCCTACCCTAAGTGCAGACCCGGACCAGTGTAAAAAGGTGGGGGAGCCGCTATTACTGTGCCATTTTCTATCCCTATGTTGCGCATATCTTTATGGATGTGGTCTATCACTGGATTACTAGCCACCGTCAAAAACGGGCTGGTTACCTCGCGCTGATCTTTACCCCGAAAATGCTTGCTTGCAGATGCAGAAATTACTTCATCCACAAATTCTTCCGCCAAAATTACAGTTCCAAAAATGATCGATCAGCTTATTTTTCAATTCAATCTTCCACAAATCACCCAACATGACACTAATGGGTCTAGTAGGGTTTTGTTCCAAGTTGTATTTTGTTGTTGCTCCATGGATTGTACCTTCGTAGTCTCGTGGTAATCTAATGACAAAAAAAGCCACAGAATTAATATATTTGACCTGCTCGTCAACCTGTCTAATCAGTTTGATATTACTAATCTCTCCCATCACAATTGCAGACCCTCGATCCGACTCTTCAACATGAGGAGGATGTAAACTTAGAGAATCTTCTCTTTTGTTTTGGATAGTAACAACTAACAATTTGCTCATTCGGATTCAATTCATTTTGTTGGAAGTTGATGAAACTCATGTCCCTACGTTTAACTTTATTTTTCATGAAAAATATCATTTTTTCACTCAAGTTCCAACTTTTGAAGTGTACATTTTTTTCATGGAAAATATTTTCCAACAGTTAGTCACGTGATCACATTTTTCTCAAAAAATGAGGAAAAAATTTTCTTTATGGAGGGATATATTTTATTTTTCAGGTAATTCAATCTCCCTTTCTCTCATCTACTCATCAATAAAAGATGTACAGGTATAAAAATTTTCAAGATCAAACCAATCAAATATATTTAATTAATACTTTACTTGCAAATAAGTTATTTGCTATTCAATTGCGTGTAACTTATTTTCTTTCCATGTAAATTTCATATTTACAATCAAAAACATCCTAAGTTTATGACATCTGCATGCCACCACCTAAGTCGATGTTTAGTACTAGAGATGATAAAAAGCAATAGTCTAATAAATATGCTAATTACTTTAGATAAGGTAACTTTTTAATTTTAAAAGAAGAAAAAAAAAAGTAAGTTATCAAAACATAAACGCAATGAGAAAGATAATTGCCGGCTTGGGACCACTGAGCCCCCTTAGCTTATATCCTTGTCTGGATTTGGTTTTTTCACCTAGAATCAAGCAAAGGCATCTAAATCCTGTCGAATAGTCGATAACTTTGACTCTCTTGTGGTCCACTAGAATAATCTATCAGAGGTTTAATATTAGTTGTCCATTAAACTCTAGAAGATTTCTTCAACTTAGAGAATTAATTTTGGGAGGAAAATCTTGTCATGTGAATAATCCAATCAACATTAATCTATGAGAATATTAATGTTTGGCATGACAATGATATTTATTGAGATCCCTTTTGGTCCGTTTTGTCTTTGTGCTGATATCTGATTATTGTATAATATGCCACTTTATCATGTCATTACAATATTCTTCGGTAGCTTTCACATACATTGCACTTGATGTTTTAGATAAGTTTTCCTTGAATTTTTGTAGTTTTGTTTTTGGACTAACGATTTCTACACCGCGTATTGGTGAACCACTATAAATTATGTTTAGCACATAGTATTACAATTGATTAATCCTATGTTCCGGAAAGATAATTAGTAACTTCAGGAGGGACACCGGTGAAAACCACGAGATATGCGAATAACAACGGATAGTAATTTTGAACGTGGAGTTTAAATTAAAATTTGACTTGATTAGATGATAAAAATAACTTTTAATTTCCCCAAAATATTTCCCAAACAAAGACTAATAAATAACATAATAAACTCGATTCAATGCTCTTTGTTAATTAATAGAGTCGAATTAATGACTAGTCCATTTTGCCCTGTTTGACAGCCATTATTTTAAAACTTTCTTTTTCTACACACTCATTTTCAATCACATATTCACACGATAAAATATTTTACGCGTAAATCAAAAACTTTTTTTCTACTCTATTTTACTCAAAAAAATGATTGTCAAACGTGTAAAATAAGCTAACAAATGCTAATCAAGCACAAGCAACTTTCAGCGGCAATGGACACTCCAAATGTAAATTGGCTTTGTTGCGGATTGAACTGCCCTCAGTTGTGCCATTGTACCCAACTTTCCACTAAAAAGTAAAAACCATATTTCTTCCCACCAAACTATACAGAACTTGTATAAGCCAGGCCCCTACTAAGCCAGGCCCCTACCCCAAGAAAGACACGACGATGGTGAAAAAGGATTTCCACCAGGGTTGTTTGGATCATAATTTAGGAGCCAATCTGTGAAGGGATCTTGTGAATCGGGTCAAGGATCATGATTCTATTCAATATTATTTATAATATATTGAATATAGATAAATATTTGATTGTTAATAACAAATAAACAAAGGAAATCTGCACTTTTTGTCTTCAACTTTTGCAAAATTTAACAAATATATCTCCTCAATCTTTTTAGAATAATCCTTCTCAAACCTATGTAGTGAAATTCGTCATCATCTCCATTTAGGCCATTGAGGAAAAATTGCAAATACAGTCCCGTACATTTTGAAAAAGTATGCGTAAATTTCACTTAAAATAAGTAAGCCCCCGTTTGACCCACATTCTTTTAAAATATATTATTTCAAAATTCATTTTCAACTACACATTATTCAATAAAATAATATTTTCCATCACATCAATAATTTTTCCTTACTTTTTAACCACATATTTCCCACCATATCTCTATTTAAAATACATTATTTCTTCAATAATATCCATTAAAAAAAAGCTAAATATATTAACATATCTATTTTTTTAAAGAAAAAATCATCGTTTCCAATCAAGTTTACCCACCCCACCAATCCTAATCGATCAGCGGTCAAACACCAGCACAAGCTTTTCATAATCCGAAGTAATTGTCGTGATTTGCTCCACCCAATCCTTTCGCTACAATTGAATATGAAATACTAAGTTTGCACTATTAATGTCAAATTGAATCATAAATGTCAATCATGCAATATACACCAAAAGCAATAAAGGTAACACCAAATTTGGTAACAAAGGAAAACCTTTTTCCCCTTGAAGAATTCTTCGCAGGTAACAAAAACCTCCAAGCAAATGTTGCAAAAATGATTCACTAGAAAAGATAATATAGAGTTGGTCCAAACACAACTAAATCTTAGTAAACTCTGATCACTAACCTGTAAATCACTAAAGAACCTCTTCGAGTATGCAACATGCACTTTCCAGAACTCTGGACTTCATTTTGCTCTGCATGGATCACCAAGAATGAATTCATTATGGAACAATTGTAACTTCAGTTGTCTCTTCCAAATTTCAGAAACCTGGAGACTTATAGGTGAAGGTAATGAATTTTGGTATTTGATCTTTTGTATTTTGATCTTTGGGTTGAATCAAGAGACTATTGAATGTGTCATTGATCTTCAATAACATGTTCTCTTGAATGAAAATAGATTCAACACAATTTTAGGATGGACAAAATAGATTCAACACACTTTTGGGACAAACTATGTTTTAGTATTTATAATATGAAGTGTTTGAGGTTGAACGAGATCATAAACAATTGAAAATTTCGAAAAGATATCACCCAGATATCACCACCGCTCGAGCGGTGGTCTCGAGGCTAATGAACGGTTAGTCAGTGATGAATTCAAGAATGTTGGTGAGGCAGGGGCGGTCATTGACAATTGACTGTCGGCTACCACAACAACGAGACGATTTATTAATATTTAATTAAATGGTATTAAAAATTCTTTAATCATTATTTAAATGCACTAAAATAAACCATTTGCATGTTCCCTCTAGTCGAATATAAAAAAAATCCTTGGATATTTCAAAACAAGCTCACGTATGTTAAACTCAACACCACAATCCTTTCGAAAATGTGCCAATCTATCAACCTCCACTTCTTTCTCAATCGTCAAGCACAAGAGCTCGTGAAAAATACCCATTGCTCGCTTTTCGTACCTTTCAACTCTTCCACAACTATGATTACAAAACGAATGCTAACGTTTTCCATTCTTTCATACGGCTTCACATACGTAAGCCTTTGCCCATTCCTTAATTTTTCCCTAAATCTAGAACTATCATAAACCCTGTTGGGAAATTAATTGGAAATGCATATTTTATCTCGAATTCACTCAACCATTTCTCTCTATACTCATTTTCTCTCCTTATCTCAACCTCTACCTGTGTCACATCACTCGATCTCTCATTATTTTCATTCCTAT